GTAAGACGTAACGTAAGACGTAACGTAAGACGTAACGTAAGACGTAACGTAAGACGTAACGTAAGACGTAACGTAAGACGTAACGTAAGACGTAACGTAACGTGTGTGTGGAGCTGCTCAACAGGTGGTGTTGAACCATGACGCTCTCCCCCCCGCGCCCTAACTGTCTGGCATAAACGGGTCCGTTTAAAAGAACACAAACACATTCATACATGCCCATTCAAACTGGGTAAGGGGCGGTGCGGAGGGGTATGGTAGGGTTTGGACTAACATCAAACTTAAAACCTTACACAACACACTACCACCACCACAACTACACAAAAACACAACACTGGTTTTCGGGTTCGTTTTGTAACGCGCTAACTTAAGTTAAACTTTTTCACATTTTATACATCGGAGGAAGTAGAAGCTTTCACCGATACCGATATGGTACGATGTTTGACGATACATACACAGCTCGTAATTAATAAATCCGAAGCTAATTTTGTGAAGCAATAATAAACACGTCCGTAAAGCAGTTGGTTGAAAACGTGATATGTTGTTTGCGGACGTTTTCCCGAAGAACTATATTGAGGTGACACTAATCAACAACAACCATGTTGTGTTGCAGGCATTCCCCTCTTGGAGGAGAGCCCCGTGCACCAGCCGCATAGCGTGTTTTCGCTGCAGGAACACTGAGCGCCACGCCACGCCACGCCTACCAAGGACTTCTTCAAGCACGCCAATTCTTCGAGCAACACAATTTTTCTCTTTCGGCTTCCTATTTTTTCTATTCTCTTTACTCTTTTACTCTTTCTCTCTCTTTCATTTCTATCTGTCCTCTCAGTGCACCACCGTGTCACTTCCCCTCTACCCCCCGTTTGGTTGGATCTTCAGCCTCCGACGAACCAGCGGATTTTCGCCCTCCTTTCTAACTAAGAAAAAAATCCACTAAACACGATTTTTTTCCAAAACTAACAACGAAATCCCGTTTGAAATTTGTATTATGACTACTACGCTCTAAAAGAAGACAGTGGCATGTTCCTTGTTCCGAAGAAAATCTGAAGAAATCTACGACGAGCCTCAGCAAGCAAAGCTGAGGCCGGCGCTAGGCAAGCGGGCGACACGAAGCACAAGCTCTCCCCACCCGTGCCGCGCGAGCCCGCGCGTCCACGGGGAGGGGTCTGCGTCCAGAGGCATACCAGCGGACGACAAAAAGACCACGAACATTTCATTTCAATTTTTTCACGCTTTTGTACTAACATTATTTCCCTGCCCAAAACGTAATACACCGTCTTGGGCGAGGAAGTGTGCGCGAGCTTTGTTATCACTATTGGCAAACAAGTTGACTTGTTTAAAGTCTCTACCGCGCGCCGGACAGAGAAGTCAATTGTTTTTATCATTTTGTGCCGCACGGCAATCTAGGGTACGTAAGCGATAATAATTTTTAATAAAAAGTTAGGATTATTTGTTTGGTGATAATGAATGAGTGTGAATGAAGTGAGACAGTTGAACTCCGGTGTAAATCAAGCGATACTCGAGTAAAACTCCAGTGGGACATCAGTGAGGCTTCGCGATGGATTCCGACGAGTCCACGATCATCATGGGCGCGGAGGTGGGGCCCGGGGGCCGGTCCCGGGAGGGCTCCCTCATGCTGGGCGGCCTGGGGAGGTCCCCCTCGGGCTCGGCGCACACCCTAGGCAGCCTGGGCGGCCTCGGTGGGGGCGGCCTGGGCGGCAGCGGTGTGCAATTCATGGGGGGCATGGCGTCCCTGGTGGAGCGCGCCAAGTTCTACACCTCTCTGTGCCTGGGCACCACGGCCATCCTGTCCGTGTTCGCCTTCCTCTTCCTCATCCCGTTCGTCGTGGACCCGGCCATCTCGTCCATCCTGGCCAACTACGAGCGCGAGGCCGTGACCTGCGTGGCCACGGACCACGTGTACACCGAAGGGCTGACCAACTGCTCCTGGGCCTCGTGCCGCGAGGGCTGCACCACTGCCACGCCCCGCTGCCACCAGATCAGGGTCAACTACAGCCACGTGCCCTACCACACGTGGGCGCTCACGCAGGTCAGTGTGGGGTGGGGGTGATATTCTGACGCTGCATTGACTAATGACTACCATGTGAGACAGGTTGCTAACCCCCGATCGCTTGCAGGACCGCGCGTCGCTGCAGTGGGCCGTGACGGAGACGCGCTTCCTGGTTAACACGGAGGGCTGCGGCTACCCGCCGCGGGTCAACTGCTCCGAGTTCGCCAAGCAGTACGGCTACTCGCGGCTGGGGGTGCCCTTCCCCTGCTACTACTCGCGGGCCTACCCGCAGATAGTCGTGGCGCGCTACTCCTGGGAGGAGACGCTGCGCCACCTGCTGCTGTCGCTCATCGTGCCCAACGTGCTCTTCGGCGTGTCCGTGGGCGTGCTCTGCTACTGGTACTGTTGCCAGGGCAGCCAGGACACCGTGTCCTACGTTGAGAAGTTCTCCACCAAGGACGAGTAAGTAAATATTTTAGTGGCGCGAAGCCCGTAAAACTGCGCTGCCTCCTGCCTCTCAACGCTGGCCCCTGCTGCCGTATGGCATGGCACCCGCCGGCTGTCGGCGGGCCCAGAGACGCTTAGAATCGTTTCTCCTGTCCTGCAGCGACGAGGACCCTGACGAGGACTTCGACGAGGAAGAAGAGTACTGACGACTCCTCGGGGGCGCCGTCGAGCTCCCCGCCGACCGCCCGGACTCCCCTCCGCCGTCGTCGAGGCACGGCGTCAACCGCAGGCGCCAGGACGCCCGGGAGCGGCCCGAGGCGGCGCGGCCTGGGGCGAGGCCAGCCCGACCCCGCCATGTCACCCAATGTTAGCCAATGTTAGCTCAGCTCCTAAGGCTCGGAACCCGCGGAGCGGGCCAGACAGATGCCAAAGTATATTTAGGCAAAAATCTTTCTCAACTCTTTCGGCTTGCACAGCGCTAGCGAGCACAGCGTTAGTTGTTCTGTCTCGTAGAGGACGTGCTCATTACATAGGGCATAGTGCCCATAACTAATGGGATGGTACTACTGACGTACAGTGATTTTCGAGGACCATTTTATGAGATAATTTGTACATGTCCCGGGAGACGCTGGATATCGGCATGCAGGATGTGTGATGTGGCGGGTTCGGACGAGCGGCACCCAGGCCCCAGCCCGGCCCTGAGCACCAGTCGGGCCACCTCCATCAAGACTCATGTACATAAAAATATCTTTCTTGGGATCCACCAAGGTGTTCTTACTTGTGCGACTGGAGTACACATCAACATCAAGTCGATGTGGACGAGTGTGTGGACGAGTGTGTGTAAGTGTGTACGTATGTGCGTTGTATGTAAGATCCAACGAGACCAAAGGTTACAAAAATGTTTTTAAAAGGCGCTCGTTCTTTTGAGTAGAACGTTACAGTAGTTGCAGCGCAATATTATGTGTTCATATCCTTGAGGAAAAAGTTGGGTCGAGTGAGGGTGGTGTCACCCTTATGTGCCTTCCATTAATGTGAGCGTTTTTTGTAGTTCCCTTTTGTTCAAGTAGAGATTGAACTTATTCTGAACTAAACCGTTCATGGCGTTTCTTCGGCATTCGGGGAGCAGTACTTAGGGTATTGTTGTGCGCCAGAGAACTGCAAAGGGCTTCTACGACCCACTAGGATTAAGTTTGTTGTTGGTGGCGGCATTGTATAGGTATGTGCTTCGTTCAGCTCAACTACTGTGATAAGCTTTTTTTAATGTAACAAAGATAGAAGATTGATTGATTAATTACAAACTTTGATTTGTCATTATAAAGAACAGCAGGAAGCATCAGAGCGCAACCCAACAGAATGCAATAATGTGGTTGTTATTTTTCCCTATTTTATTTCCAGCGATCGGTGTATGAAGTGCTACACTCATCCCTTTAACTTTTTATCTGCAAATGTTGTGAGAAAGTTGTCTGAAAACTTTGGATATTACATCGGCTACATTAAAAACACATTGCTTTGTAAAGTTTTATTGCCGGTGCTGTGATTGAATATTGTATGGATACAACTTTGAAAAGAATTGAGCGCGCATTCATGGATATTGTGTGAATAGTAACTCAAAAGTAAGATGCCCTTTTCCAGTTTGTAATGTTCGAGCACGTCAGATCTTTAGATAAAAGTTTTGCATTTCCTCTCTCTTTAACAGATAATTCTCGTTTGTGAAAAGCAATAATAACATAGAATACAATTGAAGTATTAGATCTCATTTTATGGTTGACTTTTTGTGATTTCTATCTTTTATTTGAAATTTGCAATTCTCCAGCAAAGTAGGTATTTATGTTTCTTTACTATCTTAAAATTATGAGCTCTGTAGCAGTATCGGCTAGTTGGAACATTAGTAAAAACAACTAACAGCGGTAAAACAATTTCTTTCCTCACTTCCTAATATTTGCTCTAAAAATGTCTTTTACCTCAATTCCGTTACTGTCTATCAAAATAGTTGAGAGGTCTAATACTAAAATCAAACTGGCTACCAATCTTGATGTTTGCCATTGGTACATTTGTGATGCCCTTGACATAGGGAAAATAGAATGTCACAGCATAGTGTACTCTCATTCTAAGTTCATTTCTCACATGTGTTCACATTGTCTTCATTTCTTCAATTAACAAAGAATTGATTGGTACAATAAAATTATGTATATTTGCAGATCAAGCTTGGCTGGTATTTTTTTATTTCACGATTGTTGGCAAATACCATGTAAGAGATGTTATCGGACTTAAGGATTCGGGTAAATTCGGAAATTCTCGGAGCCCCCGAGACAACGCTTATCGTTATCCTTTCCATTGTCACGATTTGTTTCTCTCACAGCGCGTATATACTCCAAGCCCACGTGGCAGCCAGCCAGGGGTGGAGCGCCGTTGTGCCTCTATCCCTGGCGCGCGCGACCCCTGAAGGATATACTCCAACTCTCGTCCTGCACCCATCCTATACGGCATGCCCTACGGAGCCTGCGGGGTGGAGTATCGCTGCGGCACTCTATATGTATACACACCACTTAACATTTTTTTACAAGGCACTGGTTTTTGTGTGCGCTCTACGCTTACGCATTTTTAAATACGCCGTTATGGAAAAAAATGTTCACACTCGATCTGTATCTCTTAATTGTACGAATTGAACAATCAAACTTACTGCACACATTTCTGCGTTGATTTAAAAACTTTTGTAAATTCATTTGTAAAAACAATCCTGCAATTTTGCGAACAAATTAGCACAAAACGAAACCTATTAACTCAGCACAAACGTTCGCACAAAAACATATAAATACATTTGACGTGTCCACTGTTAAAACCTTGCGAAGGATTCAGCTGCTTTGTTAATTAAGCCATTAGGTTTTTGTCCTCAATTGCATAGGATTTTCCTTCCTCTTTAAATCGAAATCGTTCGCAATCGTTTCACATGCGAAACAGATACGCTTAGCCTACTTTTACTGATTCCACAATCTGTCTGGCAGTCTGGTCCACTTTCCAAAGAGAATCTAAGAATGTTTTAAACCGCCGCTTTGATGATCGTCGCAGCCATCATACACAACAAATCTCCCCCCCTCCCCCGCCACCCCTGCCGGCAACAGACCCTTCCGACCCGGCGGGGGGTGGCAGCGGGGTGGCGGGAAGGGGGAGGCGAGCACGACGCCGCGCCGCCGCGCAGTCAGAGGGTGTTTGGCCGGCCGAGCGCACGACGGGGCACGCGCGCCAGCACAACTGCGCCGGGGAGGGACTCTCCAGGCCAGGACTCTGTCCAAGACTCCGGCCCCTCCAGAACTTCTCAGAGACGATCGTGAGGTAAGTGATGGGCCTGAACTAGGGATTTTAATGTCCCATTTTTTTCCAAAAATATATTTTTAAGAAACTGCCCGAAACTTTTTTTATTGGAAAAGTTGAAATATTATCAGACAAATTCAAAAATAAAATTAACACGAGATCTTCATAAATTTCACGAAAATAGCTTTTTTGAAAACCAAAATCCTGAGTCTGGACCGGAGCAGCAATGTAGGATAAAAATATGGAAGAGTCGGGAGGAGTGCAACGAATGCGTGATCGTCTTCGTGGCAGTGTGGTGAGGGGGGAAGATGTGTGCATTTCGATACAGCAGTGTACTCCTGGCAGGAAATATCACAAGTTTCGTGTGTCAGTACCCCTCTACCATCACACAATCACTCGCAGGCAACGCAGACAACGCTACGCTTCCCCTCTCTCTCTCTCTCTCTCTCTCTCTCTCTCTCTCTCTCTCTCTCTCTCTCTCTCTCATTCGCACTGCAGGGCCAGACAGGTCCCCCGCGCAACTCAGGTATTCGCAAGGCCCGTACCCACCCACCACCAGGGGCTACTGGTGACTGCTTTCGACAGGAAGATCTACAAAAAACCTACATGCAAAATGCGTAGTGTCCCCGTGGATTACGTAGATAGCACTCCGTCCGCCGTTTGCAATAGGGATAGTTCTGCTAGAAAAACAGAGCCAAAGCTAAGTCGCTCGCTACGTCAGAACGTAATGCCATTCCAGTCGATCCGTGAAAATCAGCTCATTATGAATTCAAAGGTTGACGTAGATGAAGAGAGAGAGAAACAAGTACATCGTTTTTTCATTTGGCGATGATGACATTTCTGGCTTTGATAAGCAAGAGGATCCGTAAAAATCAGAGACCAACAGAACCACGATAGGGCGGGTCAGAGCGCCCGCCAATCGCAGGGTAGGCAAGCCCGCGAACCACCCGTGCAGGTTGAATGCCTACCGACAAGGGGTTCCGAGAGACCGAGAGAGGAGGGGGGATACAGAGCCCTGCACCGAGCGAGCATCGGATGCCTACATGGCGTCCGAAAGCGGTTGTGGGAGCGAGAAGCTCGCGCCGGGCCATAGCTCCCTCTCACTCCGATTCGCTTTCGGACGCCATGTAGGCATCCGATGCTCGCTCGGTGCAGGGCTCTGCGGGGATAGCAGCCACACTGTTGCATGATTATAAGACGAATGTGCCACTGATGTACCAAGCACCAAGCGCACCCTCCCAATTATTATGCGCGAGCTGCCAGAGTTCTTGCAAACTGTGTTCATATTCAAAGAAATGTGGACGGGGGGGGGGACAATTTCTATGGTTATGAGGACACCAGAACAAAAGTCAAGCGTCGCGTCAAGTTGCTCCCGACAACACGCGCAACTGTGCAAAAGTATGCAAAAAAACTAGTTCGTATTAAAATGCTTCAGAATTCTCTGCAAGCTGAAAAAAGAATTTAAAAAAAAAAATCGTTTGCCTTACGAGCCTATTTTTTGCGGTGTGCCTTCGGGCGGCCTTCGGGAGAGTTCATGCTTCTCGAACAGAACTAAATGCTGTGACACCTCTAAAGGTAGAGCGGGAGCGGCTCCGGCTGCTTGCACAGGTGCGCCATATCCGGGCGGCCGCGCGGTCGCGCCCTGCGCCTCAAAGCCCCACCCATTCCGCCATTGTTTCTCTGCCCAGCGCGCCGCCCTTCATGACGGCAGTGGTCGTAATTTCTCGTTACGACGTCAGCCGTCACGTCGCGGCGGAATAAGCGGAGCACCCTTCAGGCCTTCAGGGTGTCCCGTCCCGTCGCTTCTGGGCGTCCCCTCTGGGTGTTCCCTCCGCACAGTCGCTGGAAGGCACGGCCGCAGCTTCCGTGGGGCGGCCTCAAGTTTACCTTAAGTTTACCTGCCGCGGCCGCGGCTTTTAGTGCCGCGCCTCGTCATCTAAGGAAGCGCCGCCCCGCCATGCCCCGCCCCTATCGACCCCTCGCTCGCGTGGAGCGCACGCGCTAGTCGGTGGGTCCGCGGGGGCTGAAGGCTCTATACCGCAGACGAAATATCAATTTGAACGAGCTGCGCCGACTAAAAATAAACACACGCCCGCGCCGGCCGCGGGCTCGCGATAGAGGGATCGATCAGATCGTAGGGTCCTAGACTAGACAGGATTCAGACAGTGTCCCCTAACGGGCGCGCAAACACGAGCGGGCGTCCAACGGAAAAAGACAGTGTTGGAAAATGTTTAGAAATATCACAACCACAACCAGGCGCGGTTTTAAGTCCGTCTGATGGAGGGGGCGATTTTCTGTGGGTTGCCTACTTTCAGGGGTTTTGTAGGACAAATTGCCTACCTACCCCAGGGGTCGATTTGGCCCGCCCCCTGAACGGACTGAATTTACCACAAATATTCATTCAATGGCGATATTTAACATTACATCAAGATTAATCATATTTATGGCCAATATTACAATGTCACCCATACTACTAATTATATTTCGTCAATATTACGATTATATTCCCAGTATTTCCAATGGAGGTTGACGGACGAGCCCTGCGGTATGGAGGAGGCTGCACCACGATTGGCGCCAAGCGTAGACTCAGTTCAACAGGTCACGCCGGTGCCCCCCCCCCCCATATCCCGCGCAGGGCGCCGCCGCCGATCTACTCCGAGCAGCTCGAGAGGCACAACGCCCTGGTGGGGGAAAAAAAGGGGGGGGAGACAACCCGAACCTCGAGGAGGAAACGCGGCGCACAGGGCACAGCAGTATCGCGTGGCGCTGCCCCACACAAAACCCCCAGGGGGCACAGTGGAGCGTTGTGACAAAAAAATAAGGGACTGTCTAGAAAGAAAACATTTAGCTAAATGAACTGAGGGGCCCGTCGGAGCGCAATCAGATGTCAAAAAGGGGGTGGCACTGTTGGGTCTCGCCTTCGCACGCCGTCGCCGCCGTCGCGTCGGGGTGGAATGGGTGGGTGGGGTGAGGGCTACACGCTGCTTCTTATCCGAGTGAGATTAAAGGCCCAAGATTGCGAGGCGCTAGCCCTCTCCCTCCCTCCTCCTCGTATTCTCGCAAGCCCGGCGTAGCCCTCGGTCGCCTCCCTCCCCGCCAGATTGGAACCAGTCTGCACTCAACTGGTCGAGGCTGGGCTGTGCGAGTGAATAATTGAGGAGCAAAAGGTTCTATGTTGCGTGGTAGACTGGGGCGCGGGGAAGCGGGGGCGGCGAGGACGGCGGGGGCGGTGGGGGCGGCTGCCCCTGTACTACGTGTCCTCGGCCTGCCATCCTAGGATGTGTGTGTGTGCGCCCTTGTTATGCGAATTCAAAACCTTATTCCAAGTCTGTAAATTTACGCCTGTAAAGTCAAACCTACGAACATTTTTCACAGTGACGGGTGGGGTCGGACACAACAACACGACTCCTGGCTCTTGTTTTGAGGGTCCTCATCATAATCATCAAAATTGCCCGCCTCCCCCCTTTCCCTACCACCACTACCATTATTCCTCCCTCCACTCTCTTCTTCCGAAAAAAATATGTACTAGAACACAAGAAAACGACGCGTTTTAAACTTGGAGCACTGTTTTGGTGTCACCCCCTCTCACACGCGGACAACAGACCGAAAGGGGAAGGGGCGCTTCGGGGGGCGCAGTAGTTTGACTACAGGATATTCCTTTCCCTATCGATTCACTGCGTTATCATTCATTCACGAGCTCTCCCATGACCCGCTATCGAGTAAGAGCAAGCCAGGGGCAGTTCCCAAACCTTAATGAAAATGTGCATTCCCTTTTAGCCACTCCTTCTTCTGTCTAGCCCGTCTGTCAGCGTGGTACATAAAGTCGAAAAAAGATACCTCAAATAAAAAAAAAATAATAATTACGAGAGGTCGGCTCCTGCGAGGGTCAGGGTAGGCCAGCCCGCAGTACACGCATGTACGGCAGGCAAGTTGTTGTCTACCATACATACAGACGCTGTAAGACTATTCATAGGCTGACCATGGGCAGTGCCATAAAGCCAAATCACTTTCAGGATGATTCCACGGAATTAGGATTAGGATTTGTGGTAAACTAACCCGAATTTCTGACATCATTCGTGTTTTGTGATGCCTTTGATTTGTGTGTGGTTTTTTTTGACATGGTAACTTTTCCTTGCAAGAGAGCATGCAATGAAAAGTAAAAGGAGAAATTATAACAAAAAATAACGTGATAACATTCAATTGCGTGCGCGTGACTTTGGACAAATTGTGCAAACCTTTTCACAATTTGTCCAGTATTAGAAACAAAATTGCATCCGGTCTGGATGTGCACGAAAACGTTGCTTTCTGAGGCAAAATTGTCCCTTTGCATATAGACTAAAGGTTTCGTCTTGCACTATGGCATGTTCGAGTTTGTTCAATAATGCTCCGTTTCTTTTCTGCTTCAGGTTCCCCGTGCGGACATGACTGTCCCCGGCCCCGGCTAAGCCCGCCCCGTCCCGCCCCGTCCCGCCCAACCCCGCGCCGCCGCCATGGGCCGCCGCGAGCCGCCCCGCACGCTCATGGAGCAGAACCGGCGGCTGTGCGGGGCCATCTGCCTGTGCCAGCTCACCGCCGTGCTCTCGTCCGTGTCGCTCATCTACCTGTCCGTGGCCGTGTACATGCCGTCGCACCGCGCCTTCCACTCGGGCTTCGCCGCCACGCCCGTCATGTGCCAGACGCAGCGCACCAACGACGTCAACAACTGCAACTGGGCGTCGTGCGGCGAGTGGTGCCTCACCAAGACCACGGGCTTCTGCCCGCAGATGCACGTGGCGGTGCGGCAGAACGCCACGGACCTGCTGCTCAGCAACTGCTCCAGCCTCAGCAACGTCAGCTGCCCGCCGGTGAGCAGAACAACCCAGAAATTGGAGTAACCCCCGGTACACCAGCCCTAGGGCACGATAAATGTGCTCCCTTCTCCTCGAGCCTCGAGGGTACACACACGCGGGACGCGGTGTAGAGAAATAGGTTGGGTGTGTCCTTGGGACTCGAGAGTAGTGGTTACATGTGCTCTAGAGATCGTGTACCCCCGGACCCCCGGTACACTATACCAAGGACGGTCTGATGGCACGGTAGAGAGATATCTCTCTCCACGTGATTGGAGGTCCCTGGGTCCCCTGGTGGCCGGGCTGGAGGTCCCTGGGTCCCCTGGTGGCCGGGCCCGAGGGCAACAACTACTGTGCGTCACCTGAACAAAACATGAAACTAGCGAGAAAGTTCTAAGGACATCAGCTGTCAGCTTGGCAGGTGTGGAGGAAAGGGGGGGAGGTCTCACGTTTTGCATCTCCTCTCCTTCCGAACTTGCCCATATAGGTTCGATTCTCCGCGTCACATCGGCGCGGGGCTCATCAACTACCTAGAAATGCGACTCGAGTCGTGCAGCGGGGCGGGGTCACGGGACAAAGTGACCCCTCCCCACCTCACCCACACGGTAGCGGGGAAGATCAATAGGTGGGGAGGGGGCAGGGGTACCAACCCCTCCACGTGGCGGGAATCCTTCCTCGGGGCCTTTCGCCCCCAGACCCCGTGCGTGCGTGAGCGTGCGTGAGCGTACGTGAGCGTGCGTGAGCGTGCGTGAGCGTGCGTGCGCAGCAACAAAAGATTGCCAGGCCGGGCGCCCAGCGCATAGTTCGCGTACTTGTTCGGCTCGGCCGGTACCTAGTACTTTTCTCTTTGTACTTTGCACACTGAAAAAAAAATACTGTGGTGCTAAGAACAGCTGTAACACCCCCAAGAACATTTTGCTCTTGGATCGGCTTCAAGAACATGTGTTCTTGGAGCCTGTTCTTGGGCTATGTCGTTGGATCTATAGACCGGACGTCACTGCGGTAGTGACATGTGTCTTTGGGGTGAGCCATTCTTGTAGTTAGTTGAAATACGGACGTGCTTTCGCACTTGTCGTTGATTTCAGTAAAGTGTTTTGTAATATTTTTTTAATATTTAGTATCAGAGATCCAGAGCATTATTAGCATTTAATTTTGATGGCGGCAATCAAGAGCTGCATTGACGGGAGCCAGCGCAAGTTGGGCACTCTCTGACATGTTGTCAGTGGGTGACGATTTGCCACCAAGTGCCAAAAATTCAACCACAAGTGCACTCCTACCGGACAGGTTGGAGCGCGCGCGACAGTGGCTTCTGAATGAGGAGCGTCTGAGCAAGACAACTAATGGAGACCACGACGAAAGTGATCAGCGAGAGCTAATGTTGAATGCCATCTAGCGGCGTCTTCGGAAGCTGGCCAATCTTACAACATGGAGCCAAGCACTGCCTGCCGCCAGGGGAAGCACCATCGTGCGTCTCGGGCAGCGACATACTGTCCTTGGTCTACCGGCTTCTGTCATTGGTCTAACGTCAACCACCTACGACAAGCCACAGCAACACGCCTGTCCTTAGCACCACAGTATTTTTTTTTCAGTGCACTTCGTACTTTGTACCTCGTACTTTGTACCTCGTACTTTGTACCTCGCACTTTGTGCCAGCTGCCCCCGGAGCAGCCGCATGGGTACGGAAGCCACGGGGCCGCGGCAGGCCCATTCATTCTCTCCAGCCAATATTGATTGGAGACATGCCTAAAGTAAATTAACGGGTGTGTGGGGACACAGCAACGCACTCGCAGAGCCCTGCCACGTACCGTCACCACCATACGCGCGCGCGCACACTCACGCACATTCACACACAGAGCATTGTTCGTGTGCACGAGGCACTCAGCCTCCCATCAGCAGCAGCCTGTTGGAAACATCGCCGGGGCGGGGGGCGTGAGCGCGGGGTGCACCGAGCCGAGCTGCCTGCGCGGCCCCCGGGCCACCCCATCGGAGGAAAACTTTAGATGTGCGCTCGGTCATGGTTGCCGGTCAAACTTTTCAATTATTATTCTTTTTCCGACGGGCTTTTCTTACGAGGCGCGTGGGGCGGTGGGCTGCCGTCCGAGCAGTGTATAAAACTCTCGCTGTAATCCCCTGTCTGTCTGCACCGGTCTGTAGCCAGCACATACTTCTGGAGAGGGATTTCTGCCCGTCTCCGCCCTTGGGGAGGTAGAGAGGGGGGGGGGGCTTTATCCTCCTCTCCGACACAGAGGGAATGGGGAATGGGAGTCTTGTAAACCCGGTGGGACTGGGAAACACGATAGAGGCGACGGAGACCAGCGCGAGTTTGATAGCACCTGTCAACTCATTTATAGACAAAATAAACATGGCAACGGCCCTTGCCTGCTTTCAGGCGGACCCCACCTCCGTCAAGCGGTACAACTGCAACCAGGGCTCCGAGTGCGACGAGCTCCACGGCGTGTTCAACTGCTCGCTCGGCCACTGCGGCAACTACTCGGAGCGCTTCCTCTGCCACTACAAGGCGGACGGCGTCGTGCTCAACACCGAGAAGGACAACATGAAGCTCAACGGCTTCTTCGAGTGCAACAGGTCCATCTGCACCAAGATCAAGAGGCCCTTCAGGTGAGCAGCTCATGCCTGGGAGGGAGGCGGAGAAATGAAAGAATAAAAAAGCCTTGAAGGTTTTCCGTTATGTTCTAGAATATACGCAAAACCTCTCTATATTGTAGTCATAAGTTTAATTTTTGCTTTTCTTGAGCGAGTTTGTAAATGCACTCTCTTCCCGCCTTACTCAATTTGAGTCTTATTTTACTATTTAAGTAGGGATGCTGGCGATACTAGTTGAATGTTAGAAATGACTGTGTAACTAATTTTCCCCGGGGGCTGTTGGAAATACAGAATGCATCACAATCATATCAACAGTCATTTGTATTACAGAACTCTAAGCCACACCTGATAATACGGTATTGGATAAATTACCTCCAACGAACACACTTTCATCAAAGACTGGGGTGGGACTGAGATGCGCTAGGGACACAAGCCACTCACATACGCAATGTTCTAAGTGCTTGCATTGCAGGCACCACCAAATTGACAAAATCTCGATACTGACATCAGTTGTCACTTTGACAAAACAGTGTTCTCTGGGCAGCTGACTTATACTGCAGGTAAAAACCTCCTTGGGAAACATTACAACAGGATCATCAAAGGGTTTCCCCGGTCCCCATTATTGGAAGACGTAGCCAACTAACCTCAAACGCAGATGTGGTAGAGACAGCTCAAAACCATTGCCCACAGACAGATCATGCAAGATTCCGCGGTTATTCGAGCAAAACTTACGAGAGATGATTATCCAAGACCAGCTCCAACTGCCATCAAAGTGTTCCACGCCGAAATTTAATTAAAAATTTGACCACAAACGCTTTGGCTACGACGCCATGTTGCACTCCGCTCGCGACGCACGACTGGTGGTTGTGGCGCGCTCTTGCGGGGCCACATTGAAGCTTGGAACATTTGGGCCTTCCCTCTTTATCTCTGAGAGGGCACTAACAGCTAACAGTGTCAGAGTCAGACAGACGAAAAGTGGGGGAATATGGCTTTGCGGGCCCGACCTGTAAACCGCAGTTCAATTTTGTTTTTCAAAGGAAACTATACGTTTAAGGCATGCAAATTGTCAAAGGCAAGACGTGCCTTTTTCATTGCAAGCCCTCGATCTCGATGTGTTGTTCTGTTCACAGCTGCGACCGCTACTGCCCCAAGATCACCACCACCTCGATGAACGTGTTCCTGATGTACGAGGACAGCCTGTTCACGGGCGAGTGCCGCGAGGCGTTCGCGCTGAACCAGGCGCGCGGCGGCGAGCCCGGCGTGCCCGTGGAGCCCACCGAGGTCTGGCACGAGGACCGCAGCGGCGGCGCGCTGCTCGCGTCCTGCCTCAGCGTGGTGCGCGTCGGCAACAATTCGCTCAGGTTAGCAACAACTTAAGTTCTTGGTTCAAGTTTGTCGAGCTTTCTCAGTTCTTGTGATCAAAGTCCAGCAAAGTTTTACAAAATACACCAAAGTTCAAGTCTATTTTCCTTTGCGTGCGCGCTGGGGGTGGGGGGTCGTTCCTGATACTCATGCCCAGGTGTTTCGGAAGAGGGTAAGCAACGGAGGTAACGGAAGAGAGTAGGCAAACCCGCAATACTGCTAAGTCCGCTCTTAAACGACTAGTACAAAGACTACAAAGTGGCGGAAGGAGAAAAACAAAAATAACGTAAGTTAGAATGGCAAACAGTTTGTTGTGCGAAAATAGTAGCAATACGCACTATTCACATGGATAACAGAGTTCTCGACAGACCCATGCCCATATGTGTTGGCGCCACTTGCCAGCCTCCCTCCCCCGGCCTCAAGACTTACTCGGCCATCGAGAGTCGCAATCGCAAATGAGTACAGTTGCGGCCCCGATAGTGCCCTCCCCTCCCCATTGCGTTTCCCTCCCCCCGCTTTTTGTTGGCGATACGGTCCACGGGCGGACGAGGGCAACGCGGAGGCGCCCCTCCCTCATCGTAGCCGCAGCAGCGCCTCCCAAAAAGAGCAGTGAGCAGTGACGGCGAAAGGCCGTTTGCTCGCTTTTTAGAGCGCAGGATGGAGTCATCTCGAAGGCAAGGCTTCTGACCCGTGCAAGTAACGGAAGCACTCTGCGCGCTCCATGGTCTCCAAGTAGGGGGCGGGGGGGGGGGGGGCAACAAAACGAGCAGAAGGGAAAGGGGGTGGAGCGGCTTGTCGCGTACTGTACACGCCACAGCGCAATACTTCAAGTAGCAGCGCAATGGAGTTTTTTTCCAGGAAATCGGCGGTCATAGGGGATGAAAAACCTCCAGTGCCCTGGAAACCATTCTCTGGCCGCCTGCATTCCTCTCCCCGTCCTGCACGTCACCTCGCATGACTGCGGCGCGTCGGCTCTGCCGGCCTCTGCACGCAAGGGGGTGGGGACTGCCAAGGACCTTTGAGGACCGGAGCCCGTACACTGTATACGACTCGCCGTTCCCGAAAGGACCTGTTTGTACGACCTACGATCTCACTTTCTAAGACGTTTGACCCGACAAAATTATAAGAACCTCTGTGCATTCCAAAGCTAACGTAAGTCCATAACGATGTAGAACTTGCTCGAACTTCTTTCATAATTATTTGAAAAATTCACTCAATTATGTAAGAAACGATTGCACGTTAGCTGTCTGTGCACACAGATTTCCACGAGATTTTGTACATTTTTTGAAGGGCAAGAATAATCAGTGGGCGAGTGACTTACCAGCAGGCTCGCGTCAGGATACCATGGCTACCCGCGCGGCTTACCTGCAAACAGAGGCGGGGGCAAGAGAGTAAACGCACTGTTAGCCTAGAACTTGATGAGGAACGGGAAAACGTAATACGCTGCGAAGAAGCTGTAAAACTTTCGTGCATAAGTAACGGCAGTGTGCGCAGTATGTCAAGTAGTATACTACACTATACGTCAAAAAGAGTACATACATAGCCTACATACAGACAGGATCTTACTCTAGGCAAAAGCGCGGAGGGCGGACGGACTTGGACTTGTCAACTAGTTGATAGCAGTAGAGGGGGGAGGGGGGGGGGAGATATCATTGACCGGAGGCCATGTTGTCGTAACATGGGGGAAAGGGGTAAAGTATACCGGGTGTGCGAGAAAATACGCGGCAGCTCGATGGGTTGCCTACGCACTGGCGAGCAGGCGCTAAGAGCGAGGGGGGAGTGGAAGAGGTGGCGCGAGACGGACGGCCTGTTGCCTCTCGCCCAGGCTCTCTACTCTTGCCACCTCCTCCGCTCCCCCCTCGCCCTCCGCGCCTGCACACCATATTGCGTAGGCAACCCATCGAGCTGCCGCGTATTCTCCCGCGGACACCCGATAGTCACCACCCTCTCGAGCACTAGGCGACCTATCGGACAACTATGAAAGTACTTCTGGGCCATCCCTCTGCAGATTGCGGTTACAAGTAACAAGTTACTGGTGGTCTGTCTCATAGAAAGTAAAGCACACTTAAAAAGATGGAGGGGATTATCATGTACTATCGAGAGAACAAATCCTCCTTTGTATTAAACCGACATGTCCCTGATTGCATTTCATTTCAACACCAGGGTCGTTATTTTCCATTCAGGGCGACAGACTGCCTCAACGGCACGGTCCTCGACGAGAAGCTCATCCCGCAGCCCTACATGAACTTCACGACGTTCTGGTCGCTGTACGGCGGCAGCAGCCGACCGCTGGACCCGGAGGGTCGGTTCTTGCCGCCGCAGCGCGCGCTCACCATCTACAACCATTCCCGGCTCTACATCAACCTCGAGGGCTGCGTCAACACGCTGCGCGGCGAGTGCAGGGACTTCCTGGCCTCGCACGGCAGGGACGGCGCCAACCAGACGGCCCAGAGCCGCTTCCCCTGCTACTACCACCCCGTGAGTGCGCCCGCCCCCCGGCCCAGCATGACTGGGTAGAGCCGGTTAGAACCGGAGCAGCCAGCATCAGCGAGCTACTGCCGCCCCTGCCCTGCACCCTCCCTGGACCCAGGCTGCCAGGCCGACCCCGGCGACCCCGGGGCAAAGAGGGGGAGGGGCTAATAACATTTGTTTTTCTAAGGGTCCAATGATTACACCGGGGAAAGAGGGGTTTAGTTTTTATATACGTTAATTATTAAAATTTGAGTTCAAGTGCACAAATTTTCTCCACACTTTAAACTTTTTACTAGAAATTTGCTTAGTAACTAAATTATAGCTTTGTGCTGTTAATATTGTCGAGAAATTCTTGAAGTATTACTAAAAACGTTTCCTGGTATAGTTATGCGTTTCCCTAGTACCCGAGGGGTGCCCAACTCCATAAAAATGTGTACACCGGATTACCAAGTTGTAAAGATTACCAATAATTACCAAAGATTACCAAAGATTACCAAAGATTACCTATGATTACTAGATATGATCCACCTGCATTCTAAAACGAAGCGGCCATTTTTTGACCTGAGAAAGATGCATTTTTGTGCAACTCTTTGGTAGTTCTTGATTCTGTATCATGCAAGTTACAAATTTGCATTCTATGATTGGCCAAATCATGATTTTGTCCATGGGAGGGATGCAAAGTTGCCATATTGAACATGCGCGTTGGCATTAGGCAAGATGTGCACAAAAATTCATGCCTAAATTAACAAATTTGCCATTTTCAAGGACCCTCACGAGTAAGAGGATTACCAGGGATTACCAGTGATTACCAAGTCTGTGTACACTTGATTACCACAGTTGGGCACCCCTCGCTAGTACCGTATTATAATACTAAGAAAATGTTTTGGAAAGCTGAAGAATTTCTTGAAAATATACAACCGCACGACTCGTGGTTTCTGTGCAAATGTTCTCTTAAAAAGTTGAGAGTGCAGGCCATATCATCCACGCTCTGACCGTCTTTTTCTCCCCGCAGGACGACAGTTTCATGGCGATAGCGCGCTTTGACCTGGACAAGACCCTGCGGGAGCTGCTGATCGCGACCGTGGTGCCCACTGTGCTGTTTGTCGTGTCCTTCGTCACGCTGGTGTGCATCACTAAGTACGTGACGGTGGACGACGCGGGCCGCATGCAGTGCACGCTCTGCAGCGCTCTGTGTGGGGGCTGTGGGGGCGGCGCCGGACGCCAGGACGACTCCGACGGCCCCGGCCCGGAGAGCTTGCTCATGAACTCGTGAGTCTGGAGTGGAGTGAGGCCGTCACGTGACGTCACACGGTGTCGCACACGGTGTCGCGTGCGTGACGGACTGTGACAGTCTGACTGTCCCCCCGAGACAAGAAGAGAGGTTGGTTACATCATTTTTTAAAAAAATAACTATTGTTTTTCTACGTATTATTATTTCGTTAAAAAAAAATGAAAAATCGGTTGTTTTGTTGAGGAAGATCGAAGCAGTAATTTGCACGAGCCCCGTGCGCGAGACGGCAGTGCGTTCGGCGAGCACCCTCTCTTGTCTCTGACACGACGTCCCCACGACCCCGAGCGGCACCCGAGGCTCGAACATGTCGCCCATCTCAGCGCCTGTTGTTTGCAGGAAGCACCAGAGGTCAAGCCATGGAGGGCTGCCTGGAGCCCCACCTGGAGCTCCGCCGGCCACGGCCCCCGGCCTAGACCTGGCCATGGACAGCCCCCTCATCATCCCCGTGCGGCTGTCCGTGTCGGCGCCGGCCTCGGCTCCTACCTCGGCCCCGGCCTCGGCGGAATCCGTCAGGCGGGCCGAGGCCGCTGCGCTGTCCGCCGTGCAAGCGACCGGGAGGGAGGCCGTCTACGTCGAGCTTAGCGACCCGGCAGGCCTCGGCGCCGCGGCCGAGCTGGCCCGGGCGGCGCGGGCCAAGCAAGTCGGGCCGGACAAGGCTGCGGAGGACTTCGGCTCGTCGGGCGTCGACACCATCACAACGAAACCCGGGTAGAACACGGAGAAGAGACGGAAAGCACGGAAAGCTTGCGCTTACCGAGACGACAGACTTCATCGGGTCGCCCCGAAGTTGCTAGCAGAGATAAGCCCGAGCGCACCCGATCCTCGCTCCGGCCCATGCGCTGAATCCTTCAGTTAGTAGTGCTCACGAATGCGGGACAGTAGTTAAGAGGCTGGGCAACACAGCCGACTCAGCTCAGTAACCAAGATACATCAAAACTCAACTTGGAGCGTTCGAGGTTCATTGAATCAAATTGATTTTATTGGCGTTTTTCTCTCCTTTTTGTTTTTAGTACTTTCAGTCTATGTACTGTCTATTCCTCCCACCATGGATTCAAGGGAAGTACAAAAATTAAAAGACCGCCATCGCCATCACATGTTTTCATTATCTTCCACTAAGTTTTTGAGAGCAAAAGTTATGCGTACTCTCCCTTCTTGTATATTTGTAAACCAATAAAAATAATAAGAAAACACCTGCCGAAGTGTAAAATTTTGACAGCCCTCAACTCGTTTAGTGCATCGCGACCACAATGTGGTCAAGCTTAGTGTTTTTTCCCAATCGCCGAAATGCAGAGCCCCATTGGACGTACACGCTACGCTCTTTACAGATGCGATCTTCTCTGATTTTCTTATTATAGTCAGTTCCAGTTCACGTGAAAGATGTAATCTCCTTGTGACATAGTTCCTAACAAGGCCATTCGACTACATTCACATAGTGTTTCTGTGGGGCAAAGGCGATTTGTAACGATGTTCCCGCAATGAACGTGCCCTAGCTGACACAGCTGACACAGCGATAGCGCCTACGACGCGCAGTGTCGGCCAGCCCGCAAAGCAGCTGTGTTAAGCCGGTGGCCCGCCCTGCGCCCTGCATTGGCTGTACTAGCTTTTTAACAATTCGGATGGACCAGGGGTCCGTAACTTAACATAACTGACATGATTTCTTGGTTACATATTTTATCATATTCGAAAATCAACAACATAATTTTGTCCTACAATTTGAGGTTCAACTTTGAAGCCTTCTGTTCTGACAGAAGATCAAGTCAGGTCAAAAAAATGGAAGTCAGCACTAGAAACAGTGTGCACTAAGACAACTTTTTCCCCAATATTGGAGTTCTGCCTCGGATGCCTCAAACCAGAAAAATGGTCACAAAATAATTGTAGATTTATGTAACATCAAAATACACAAAATATATTTCTTGTAGAAAAATTATTTTAAAAGCACCTACAAATACAATAGTGTTAATTATTTACAAAACAACAAATACAAATGTATGCTCTCTATGCATAGAAGTACAATTATTCAGCAAGATATTTTCTTAATTTGTGTAAAATAAGTATCAATGTAGGACCTGTCTGACAATCATCTACTGTAATGTGATGCAATAATTACCAACGGGTACCCCAAAGAAGAAGAAAAAAAAGGAAAAAAGAAATGTGTGTCCAGGGAAAAATCATGATACTTCCCTTGTTGCACACTCCAAAATATGTATAAAATATCACAGTATGCTCCTTATGATGTCACCGTCTACCTTATTTATGTATGTTAAAAATATTGTAGGGAGAATGACTTAGTGTGCTTGAAATGTTTGCTAATGCAGAATCACCCTGGGAAATTTTTAGTGATGAGCTGTCATTGGATTGATTTAATGCCCTATAGATAAAATCTGAAGTTTCGGTTTCATTATTTTCTTCTTCTAGAGGTACTTTTGGTATGGTGTTATGCGGCTCCACCTTAAACAGTGTCGGATCTACTGTGGGTGCACATGTACTATCTACAAGCTTCAAGGTACTTTCAGAGGATAGTTCCCCTACCTTCAATTCTTCCTGCTTGCGATAGGCATGTAGCATCCATTCTTTTTGCTGAGCTTCTGTCATCACAGGTTCACGTGAAGGAGCTCCCTGACCAATTTTCTGCAGTTTGACTACTGCTCGGGTCTTGTCATTACGACCCAAGTAGTCACAGATTTTCTTGGTGCGATTCATTTCCTTCCCAGAAAACCACAGACTTGCCATTGACGGCTCAATAACCTGAAAGTAATTAATAGTCTTTAAATACAAGTTAAATATGTAGGAGAAAAATTACACTTCCATCAAAAGAAAAACGTTCACCTCCAGCGAAGCTTGTGTACCAGATAAATCTTCAGTGTTTTCAAACTCCTCTTGAATAGCATCGTGAGGAGGTAGGCCCATGGGGTAGACAATAGTCACGGCGCCCCGAAGCAAATCAATAGCTTCCTTCACCATTTTTCTTGTGACAGGCACTCCAGCTTGAGCTTGTTTCTATGGGTGAACAGAAGAGAAACACTATAAAAACTCTAGTTTGTCAAGGGTAGGATAAAGATTTTCTTTCTAAGCTCCTACCTTTGACACTATAGCCTTTGCTTCCTCAACAGTTTTGCGAAGAATCAACTGCATCTTCTCATTTGGCTGTCGGCCATTGCGGCGGCCAATGTCATCCTTGTTGAAAGTCCACCCACCACTAGGTACACACTTATCTGCCCACTCATCAACCAGCTTCAGCTCAGTTACTTGCTCATCAGTGAGACCAATAATATTTGGTGGTAGCATTGGTCCATGAGTTGCCAGCTCTTCCATTTCTGAGAGATAGCAATGCATACAGGTTTATGGCCAACTCTTGACACATACTCTAATGAAAACAAATAAAAATTAACTCACCCATGCATATTCGACTGACTTTCAGCCGTCCGTTATAAATCACAGTGATCTCATTCAGAGCACTTTCAATCAGGGAATCAGTAGATACTTCATAGAGGAACTGGCTTTCATCTCCCTTCTTAACATGAAGCTGAACCATTATGGATTCAGAGTGTATCTGACACCAACGCCAAAGTTGAAGAAGTAGTTTTGTAAATGGAGTGATTAAACTGTCAACAAACAGAACAATAGACAATACCAAAAGTTTAGAAAAACTAGCAGTTATAGAAGGTTAGGATCCCTGTTCATTTGATTAGTACCTTATATTAAAAATGAATCGTTCAATAAAAGTTTAACTTTAGCAAGAAAGTTAAAAATATACGATAATTACACCGTGCTTCAATATTTTTTTCAAAAGCGCTTTTGTGATAATAACTTTTAAAGGCAAACAAGAAAAGCCGACACGAAGCAGACGACTTGAACTTCCCAAACTAAATGTTGTTAACGAAAAGAAAAAAAGTATTGCTTTTAAAAATGGTTATTGCGAGACTACTGTTTTACAATGAGGCGTTCCTCTAATTCTTATGACAAAAAATAAATAAAATATGTATTAAGTACTAGCAACGAGCATTTTTCATAAGTATTATGACAGCTTGTAGCAGACAAGCAGAAGGTGGTATTCCTGTTTGTTTATAGCCTCCAACCCAAAGGCGCTTAAAGCACTCCAAATTTTACAAGTTACTAAATAGACAATAAAACAGATTAAAACTCTGCAAAATTACTTTTCAAAAATGTAATTTTTTTTTAGGTTTTATTTTTATCTTCTGTTTTTCTGAATTTTGCCATGATTCTAAAAATGAACTTCCACCGGCACGAGTCACTTTGGGTTGGAGGGTGCGCCACAATCTTATACTTCTTCCGGTCCGCCATAGGCAGATCCTTCAACAGGCGTGATGATATTTGTCTAGGTGAGTTCTCGATTTGAACGGGCAAAAGTGATTTTCAAGTACCTAAAGTTTACGTTATGACTTAACGTAGGTATCTGGATTGTATTGTGTTAAGTGCCACAGCTCTGAAGTTGTTTTGATCCGCATTTATTTTGATTTGATGGGACCTTGTTAGCGACCACGTTGCATCGGTGCTTGGCGTTCAGGTTAAGTCGTGCCTTACAGTGTTTGGCAGTAAGTTTGGAATGTGTAACTGGTTTCTCTGAACATTCTCGAGAATTTCACTGTTCAGTAATTTTCAGTATTTTGAATGTGATACCGATTAGTCAATTATACATGATCTTTTATCATGGGTAGGGCTGTTCGTAAAGCCGGAAACGTGTGTTGGCCAGATGTCTACGCCGGTTCAAATTATTTTCGATTTTCTTGCATTCATGACACGAGGCATTCTGTTGGTTCATATTTGTCGTTTTTTCGTTCGGTTTACGTTGCAATGTCAATGTTGCGGCGGAGGGTTATGTGGTACTAGCGGCACCTGGTGTACAGGTTAAGTCCCTCAGTTGCTCTGGTGTCACAACATGACGACCTCGGGATGCTTAGATTGTCTTGACCTGGCCGATTATAAATCTGAAGTGAGACTTGTTCTGGTACTACTCATGACTCGTCACTTCGGGTTTGGGCAGTAACTGTTTGGCCCGCGGAAGCGAAGATACATGCTGCGCCTGGGTGAGTATGTGCGTCCCTTAGTTTATCTGATAGTACTGCCCAGATCTGGAGTGGGAGTCCTGGTTCCTGCTGGTACTGTTTCATTTCAGATTGGGCCTCAATTATCAGAGTTTTATTTAGTTATTGTTTGCTTGCAGGCTCAACATCCTAGACGATTAACAACAGACAAAGTCCTTCCACACCACCACCAGCATGCCACAGAACGAGTATATTGAGAGGCACCGAAAGTTGTATGGTCGCCGGCTCGATTATGAAGAGCGTAAGAGGAAGAGGGAAGCTCGTGAGCCTAAGAAGAGGGCAGAGCAGGCCCGCAAGCTACGAGGTATCAAGGCCAAGCTTTTCAACAAGGAGAGGCGCAATGAGAAGATTCAGATGAAGAAGAAAATTCAAGCACATGAAGAGAAAAAGGTATGCATCTCTTGTTTTGAACCGTACTTAGCCCAGTGATGATACTTAGTGATCAGAGCAGATCTTGCATTAGGGACACTCATTCGGAGTACTTGTTACTAAACATGTCCCGGGAAGGTCTGAGTAAGGGTCTGTTAACACTCTAGCAGGGTGTATTCCTCTTAAATGAGGGGTGGGGGACGAGAAATGTGGGATTTGTCTATGTCCTGGGATACCACTTGGTTGAGGCATGACATTTTCTCTTGGGAACTCCCATGGCCAGCTATTTAAGTTCAATGTGCAAGATATTTTACAACTCAATTCAGACTAGTCCTGCTCTGATCTATTATTACTGAGGGTCCATATCTGTTGAGCCATAACTCACTCTATGATGACTGTTAGCTACTTCAGGTCAGGGGGAAGCTTGCACCAGGGACTTCCATACGAAGTACTTGTTACTTTCTTAGTCCCGGGAAGGTCTGAGCCAGGGTCACTAAACACTCTAGCAGGGTGCCGTCTCTTAATGGGAGGTGGGAGACTAGGAATGTCATGGTGGTTACTTTTCTGGGAAGTCTCACGACTGAGATGTAACCATTGTGTTGGAAACTCCCATGACCGGCAGTTTGAGTTCAATGTGCAAGGCAAATTTTGTAACTCAATTCAGACTATTCTTTCTCTGACCTGTGCGGCTAAAATCTGAGAGTATAGACAATCATGCGTCTTCAATACCAGTGCATCTTTTGGGCTATATTTAATAATTTAATATCTTTGTTTGCAGACAAAGAAGACAGAAGAGCAGCCTACAGATGGAGCACTACCAGTGTACCTTTTGGATCGTGATGTCCAATCCCGGGCCAAGATTTTGTCGAACATGATCAAACAAAAGCGAAAGGAAAAGGCAGGAAAATGGGATGTTCCAATCCCTAAGGTTAAAGCACAAGCAGATTCAGAAGTGTTTAAGGTACAGTACTTGACTTAAAAGAATTTGTATTACTCATTCATAACGCTTCCGTATTCTAACTTCATTTCTTATACTTGCAGGTGCTTCGCTCTGGAAGAACAAAGCGTAAAGCTTGGAAGAGGATGGTCACCAAAGTCACTTTCGTTGGAGAAGGGTTTACTCGTAAACCTCCTAAATTTGAAAGATTTATTCGACCAATGGCACTTAGGTTCAACAAGGCCCACGTCACACACCCAGAGCTTAAAGCTACTTTCCATGTCCCAATTATTGGTGTTAAGAAGAATCCTAGTTCACCCATGTACACATCATTAGGTGTCATTACCAAGGGTACTGTTATTGAAGTTAATATTAGTGAATTGGGTCTTGTAACTCAGGCTGGTAAGGTGGTTTGGGGTAAATATGCCCAGGTCACGAATAACCCTGAAAATGATGGATGTATTAATGCTGTCTTAATTGTTTAATTTTAGTTCTGTTGAAGCTGGTGTAAGATTGACTGTACTGAATCTTAATTATAAGGAAGTGACTTGTCAGATTTCAATAAATGTTTTCAACCAATTTTTAATCTTTTTATAATTGTCTCTTTTGACTTACCTTATTTTTTCTACACTTCAGAGCTGTGGCACTTATCTTCTAGGCTAATTATGGTTTTAAACAACTGTGGTAATGTTTGATTTCTGCTTCTAGGTAACTACTTAGGACATCATCATGCAGATCTTCATCAAAAGTCAGGAGACCATCTCCCTTGATGTCCAACCGTTTGACTCGGTTGAGACCCTCAAAAGCCAGATCGCAGAGCGAGAAGGTAATATTCCTCATTTTTGCACATCAAAGTTGCTGTTGTGTATTGGTCTAATATTTTTGAAATTCTAGGCATTCCCGTTGACCAGCAGAGGTTGATCTTCGCTGGCAAACAGTTGGAAGATGGACAAACCCTTCTAGACTATGACATTCAGAAGGAATCGACTCTTCACCTTACCCTAAGACTTCTGGGAGGTGCCAAGAAGCGTAAGAAGAAGAACTACTCCACTCCCAAGAAGATCAAGCACAAGAAGAAGAAGGTCAAGCTTGCTGTCCTTAAGTATTACAAGGTATGTGTCTTCACAATAGCATTCAGGCGCTTGTGATTTTATTTTCCTCTTTTGACTGACTTTTTCGTTTAGGTTGACGAGAATGGAAAGATCCACCGCCTTCGTCGCGAGTGCCCCTCTGACCAGTGCGGCGCTGGTGTCTTCATGGCTGCCATGGAAGACAGACACTATTGTGGCAAGTGTGGTTACACTCTTGTCTTCAACAAACCAGAGGAGAAATAAACTTGTTAAAACTTAATTCCATTCCAGTTGTCCTATTACTTCCCCTGTCTATATTGCTACACGACAGACCTCACTGAAATTCTAAGATAACTGAATCTATAAAATTCAGATATGGCTTGGCTTGAACTTTTCACTTGGACATGGTTTGTGATCAACCATTCCTGTTTAGGTTTATGAATCAACGGCTCAAGTCACTTCCATTTGGCTTTTTATTGTTGCTCAAAATATATGAATATTACATTTAATTCAGCACCTAATTGTGGTACAGACTAGTATCAGTAAGTACGAAATACAGTACAAGAAACAAGCTTAGCAACTACATTGTACCACAGACAGTTATCACTTTTTATCAGCAGAGAACAATGTTTCACTTTACTAGCAGTTGAAATCACTACCTGTTTGTGCAGATTGTTGCGTTTTAATGTTGAGACATTAATGTGCGCATTTTTAAAAGATAAGCAGCCAGCTTGGTTAATTGAGTAGCATGCCATGATGATGGATTTAGTCTTGGTGTAGCTAGGCTGTAGCCGCCCAGTCGTTGGTTATGAGTAAACTGATGGGTCGGAGCTGGTTTCAGCCAATCAGGTTACTAAAAGCAAATCACAGGGTGGCTTCAGCTTCGCCGAGACTAAATCCATTTTGAGTGTTTGTTGCAACACTTCTTAAAACTTTGGATTTAAAAGTACTTTCAGTGTTACAAAGTGGTCCCAATATAGCATGTTACATCTGACTTGCTTTAATACAGCAGTAAACAGGGCCTGTATAAGAGCTTTATGCTGATGAGCTGAGGTTCTAGTAAATGTTGATATGAATTTCATGAAAAAGCAATTCTCCTCAATTTTATGAATGTACTTGCCTAACTTGGAACAACCAAGACCAAATTAATTGGCCTTACACAATGACAACAAATATTACTTACAAAATCAACAAAAACAACAGTTGTGTAACAAAGAATATTTTTGGTGTACAGCAAATATAAAAAGTTAAAGATTCAGACATTTAACACAACATAAAACAATCCTGCAAGTGGAATTACTCCACTAATAAATTCAAAGCAAATGGCAAACCCTGGTACGGTCTCCATGGGTTCCGTTCGTTTGGACACTAGTAACTGAAGAAAATCCTTCAGAACAATATTGATCAGAAAACAGTTCAACAATAAAATTATATTTGTACTAACATAAATCTTTACATAGATGCTGGTACGTGACACTAACAATTACAGTAACATGATTATGAGAGGTAGGAACTGATGATTTGATAAGCTAAGGTTGATCATCTGAGTTGAAGACAGTGAATCCTCCAAACCCACTTATTAAAAGAGAAACAGAGTAATGAAGAATTACAAAAGAAGTGCATGTGAGCTACTTTTATAGCACCAGAGCTTTTTCAGGTGGCAAGATATAACAAAAAAGGAAGACACAACTTCCCTTTCCTTTTTACTAACTTAAGTGATAGATGACTCAGCTCCGACTCGAGATAGCATTCCTGCCATCAGTACATAGATAAATTAAAATCCCAAACAGACATGTAAAAAGGAACAATGCCTAATACTTGAGGTTTAAACCAAAAAAATAATTGTAATATAGAGGTTGCAGCTTATCAAAAGATAAAGGCAAAGAGCAAAAAATGAGATTTAACACATGCCCTGAGTAGTCAATTGCCAGAAAGTAATTTGATTACAGTACAACTTACTCAGTATAAATGAAACTATCACATTTCTCCTCCATAGTACATAACGAGAAAAATTCTAAAGATATTTAACAAATTCTTTACGGCTATGAGTTGTCATATTGACTTTTGTCAACATTGTCTGTTAACTCTTTTATAGCAGGTGTAATTTTGTGTTTCACTCTTGGTTGTATACTCATTTGCAGCTCCTTCAGAGAGTCTTCAGTCTGAAAATGAAATTAGACACATTACATTTTTACAAAAATACACATTGCACTTTCAACATTAGAAGTTTTGTTACCTCTCTTAAAAGAATGACTGATGATTGCAAAACTTTCTGCCACTTTTGCATTTCTAAAGTGTGCAAAGACTCTTGCTGCCTCAGCAAACGCATCCATTCTTCTTGTGTTGTAGGAGGGTTTTTGCTAGACATAGAAGAATACAAGCTTATTTTTTTTAAATGTAGCTTTAAAATTTACAACTAAAAAATCTGTGTAGCAACAAGGTACCTTATTTTGTACCTTAATGACTGCAGATCTTCATTTAATCCTACAGGTATTGGGTCAATTGCAGACCACCTTTCCAAACAAATCAGCTTATAATACAAAGCTCCATTCAAGACTAGAAGTAATATTAGTATTCCAAGGATAACCACATTAACAGTTTCCACGCCATTTGTCACAGCAGGGATGACTTGCCTGAAATAAGAAATTAAACATAAAAAGAAGCACTATTACCTCCTGTACTCCAATACATTTGAAAGCAAGCCTGGTAGTGACTTGTGAGTGTGGGTTTCTTCCAGGTAGCATCTTTAACTACCTGGCTTACAAGGTTTTATCTAACCCTTCTCTACCACTACTCACAGGATTGCTTCCAAATGAGTTAAAGTATAGTCAAATAATATAAAAGGATAGCGATTGATAGATTGATATGAAAAGAGTAAGTGTGTTATCGCAGAGCTATTGCTCTCTTCATTCAAATATGTGGAATTCTAAAAGTACAATTTTGGTCTAAATCTCAAAATAATGGATGGAAACAAAGAAAAGCCTTTCAGGCAAAATTTACCTTGCACCAACACTGTCAAAAGAATTTTCCGCAGCTCCAACTGAGCCTCGAGGCAGAGAGCGCCTGTGAAAAATGTAGCCATGCATGCTGTCAGTCATAAAACCTTCATGCTCACAAACCATCAACATTTAACTTGTAAAAGATGTCTTGTAAAAGTGAAAATATGCAGAATAATTTTTTTTATAACAAAATATTGAACACTGTAATGAGCACCACAAGTTGAAGAAGAGGGCTTCCAAACTAGCACAAGCATTAAAGATACCAGTTTTAAGGTTTCACATTGATGTGGTTGCATTTATGAGATTATTACATTGAATACAGTTAAGAAGATCAACCACCCACCAATTACAAAGTAATTAAAGAAGGAAGCACAGAAACTGTTAAATAGGACAGAATGAGTTATTATTTTCAAATATCTTAGGTTGAGTATGGGAGGCTATGCTATACATGTTTCAAAGGTGGCAAAATTTGGTTGATTGCTAGATTATTCATTCTATATAAGCAAACATTTTGATGGGAATGTTCTCACCTCCCTGTAGATGACCTAGCCCTCGGAACCAGGACTTCATCATTATGTCGTGAAGAGGATAAACGCCGTGAGGAACTGCGAAGCCGTCTTCTTATTTTGGGTGCTACTTCAACATCTTCCGCAATTTCCTCATCAGCACAACACTCGGCTTGCAGTGCCTTTTCTAGAGCAGCATAAAATTCGTCTAAGCCTGCCCAAGTATGCTTTTCAATAAAACCTGAATAATGAAAGGTACAGTTGCAGTAAAATAGACAAAGACATTGTTACAAAAAGCAATCTTGAAATAAGGGGGGAAAAAGAACTCCCTTACTTTTGACAACGGTCCAAACTGATTTTTTATATTTAATATCACAATACACAGCAAAAGATGATTCAGTTTCACTGACTTTGTTGAGGCAATAATGTGTGATTATTGAAAAAGAATCAGCGTATGGAATTCCAGCATTCTGACAGTCAGACTCGATTGCGTACATTTTACCTGGTTTACTACATTTTAACATAGCCTGGAACATAGCATACAAGTATAGCCAGGTTTAAATTGTTTTCATACAAAACTCTTAACATTCTACACAACAGGTAGATAGATAATATTTCCATTACCTGAGTTTCAGTGACTTGAGATTGTCGCTTACCAACCACGGCCTGATTAATATTTACAGTAAGGCACACTGTTCGCAATCTTTCATTCTTTGCATTTTGGGCCCATGCGGATGGCTTGATATCTGTGAGAATAATTTAGTAATAAAGACAATGACATTTGCCATTGGAAGCACATTTAGTAGAACATTACTTACTACATGAGTTCCTTGCAACATGAAAATCTACAAAGAACTTTGAGTTTGTAAAGAATAGGGTGAATAATTGATCAACTGATACTGGAAGTACAACTTGTAGCATCTGTCGACCATCATGCTGAGATGTACATTGACCAGAACCACTGGAGAGGCCAATCAAATCTATCAAGAAAGAAGACCACTTTAACAATATTGCCCTAGTGTGTAAGAGCACGACCAAGTTATGTGAGAAGTTCTTATTTCATACCAGATACTTTATCAGCCTCAGATTCAGTAGTATCACTCATGTCTGTATCAAGTTGAGCCTCAGGGTTATTAGTACTTATCGAGTTAGGGGACGTCACTGATGAGGGTGATGATATGGAAGGCAAGGGCTGGGCAGTTTGAACAGCTGAATTCCCAGTAACCTCCATACTTGCCAATTCAGCAGACAAAACAGGAATTAAAGTCTGGGGTTTACTATCATCAACACGAAGAGAATCTTCCGGGGATGCTAGACCATCCTGAAACAGTTCATAAGAAATTAATTCCTGAACTTCTAAAATACAAAGTAAAAAAATGATCAGGAAACCAAGCATAGTATTTTTGATTTTCATGGCGGGATTAAGACAAAAGACTCTGTATGTAGTTCTTTTATTACAGCAAATGGACAATTACCTCAGAGAATGATTCCATTGAAAGTCGTGAGTTTCCTTCAACTATTGGCAGTGGCTCTATGTAGTCTTCATCCTCACTTGTGAGTCCTAGTTCTTGCCCATAGCAAGCGTGAACCCACTGCCACATCTCCTGCATTGACATTTGCTGGGTAGAGATAAGATTTGGGTTAAAGGCATCTTATCAGTACAACACCTGGGCCCGAGTGGAAGTCATTCAGGCCTCATAATATCTCATAATATGAGATTCCCATCCATAACAGGGATAATACTTAAAATTGTTTGCATTACCTGATCCATGAGAGCATTTTGCCACACTCGGAAAAGCATGAGATATGCTTTGTCTCTGGCTCCAAATGTAGTAAAGAAAAGATTTTCAGTTTCTGTACATACTAGGATAGCATTTGGAATAACAAGAGCAGTTTTCTCTTTGGTTATTGCAGTGACATCCTTCCAGCGAAGTGAAATCTGTTTTAACATTGAAGGATATTGTTAAAAGCATAGATAGATACACATATATATGAAATCGAAATAGGGTTAATGCAGTATATAAGCGTCATTTAATTTGATTACCAGTGTTTCCCAGCGAAAGATATTGGCGTAGAAACACAAATAATTTTGTGAAACATAAAGGCGGCCATGAATGAGGATTTCCTTGGCTACCGCACATGAGTAATCTTAAGATTGAAAAGACCAGTAAGATTAACATGTCTATCAATAAAAGTATTAAGGTAGATACATAGATAATATTAATTACTTGCTCCACATACCAACTATGAGTCTCTCTTCTGGAGGCACATCTTTAAATATTCTATTGAAATCTTTGCTCCTCGACTTGTAAGTGGGGTAGAGTATATTGTACCACGAAGACTTTTTCTTTGAGCGATCTGATCCTCTTGATTCTTTCCTTTCTTTAGCACTTTCATGACTTATGCTACGGCTTATGTCAGCTTGGCTTGAATCTGATCCTCGACTGACATTATCCTGAGAAATGAATAATTAAAAATTGAGATGAATCAGATCCTTTTATGTTGTAAACAACAGAGACAGATATAAAATACATTTGAGAAAACTGATGAGATTTCCAAAATAGAAATGCTTCCAAGGAAACAACTTAAAGAAAAGGCACTAGGGACTGTAAAAAGATAAATTTAAAGAAAAAGAAAAGCAAAATACACTTTAGAAGTAATGAATGCTTGATATAATTTGCAGAATATTACTGACAATTTACTATATTTTTAGGTAAATACTGTAGTACCATTTACTTCAGATACTTGTTCACTAGACTATCAACTGTACCCACTGCCAAGAAAGTAAAGCAATGTCAACTAACTATGACAAATGTTTTCAAAAATGCTAACACAATGCCACACAAATGTTGCTATGCTACATTAAATACAAAGGAAAATCAATGCCATACAGCAAACAGGTCCAACAACTGACATCTTCAAGTGAGGCTTCCCGCACAACAAATAAGAAGTTGTAAATGTTGCGGCGCAGCCTAAATGTGATAACACCGCAGGTAGATACAAAAATATATAACCAGTTGCAGTGACTGCAATAACGGTTGTGACTGAAAACAACTCAATTCAGAATCCAACTATTTATCAATACAGTACTGCTACTAAGAAAACTTGGGAAGAAATTTGGCCAAAAGTAAAAAAAAATGAATCTAGTTATTGTTCTTTTAATTACACAAAACAAAGAAGGTATTTAAGTTTTTGGCACATTGAGCTCAATGCCAATTTTTGATGCAAACATTCTACAATGAGGATGCTATTATTTAATAAGGAAATAACTACTGAGAAGAAAATATTAGCACTCGAAGACAAGTCACACTTTTCTAATTATAAATAACAGTATTGACACAATTATAGGAAAACAAACAACACCCCATTCCAGGAGAAGAATAAAATGAGTAAATAAATACCCCTTCCTCACTAAATTGATTACATTGCCCATTCAGCAGAAAAGCACTACATGAATTGTTTGATCTAGAATAAAACAAGACTAAGTATTTGTTAATTGAGTTACTGCAAACAGGGAATTACTTCCACTACAGGCTCTGTTACAAGCTACTAACCTGTTTTCCACATTTAGGCTTGAATAGAGCAAATAGAGTGTGCATGGCAAAAGAAACCAAGGCAGTTAGTCTATACTGTTATACCATGGCCAAAACAAATAGCACAAACCAAATTTAATTTAAAAGTTAAAAAGGAAAAAAAAAAGGGGGGAGGACCCTGAAAAAACATGTCTTGGGTATGTTTTAGTAAAGACACATTTCTGATCTAGCCCTGATTCAGTCTATTATTCTTTATTAAAGGAGCAACACATTTTCCTCAAGGTAGAAAAAAAAGGGGAAGTAAAATATCACCCCAACACCATTCCCACAACAACATACATAGCATATTGCATAGGTCACTAACTGCGTAAATATAATAGAGTTATCGTGGATTTTAACATTTGCAATTTGCAACAAGGATTTGTATCATTCAAATGCACGCTAGCTGGAAGTTAGTTTTATAAAGCCCGAACCCAAATTCCAATGGTGGCACACCTCAGTAGTATGGAAAGATGTATCACTTGTAGTAGAGCATGAACGGGATATCGACCAAGAGCTTTTTCCAGAACTAGATACTCCACTGCTGTGATTGCCTGATTTTCCACTAGCAGCTGAATTTGAGCTTGCTTGAGAGGATGAACCCAAAGACTTTCTTTCACTCTGATCAATGGATTTCTCACGTAAAAGAACCTGGATCAATAAGTTTCCAAAAGTTTAAGTTCTAAAATTAACAACCGTTTTTGACAGAGAAAAGAAAGAAGTTTCACTCTGCCATGTGTTGGCAGGTCCCACCCAACCAGACAGTGAAGTTTAGGGAAAATCCTCTCTCTGTCGTATTCAAAGGAGCATTCATGAGATGGGAATAAATTGCCCCAGAGCACCATTCAATATACATTGAACATAAAGGAGATCAACAACACAAGAAAAAAACAGTTGAAGTAAATATGAAACCAGAATTTATCAAGAGGTGATACTCATGGCACTCATTAAAATTACTCCCAGAAACAAAAGAAAATAATCATTCAATAAAAATAAAAATTCACCAATCGGTTGTCATGAGACTTACCAAGTCTATGTTGCTCACATCAAATCGGTCAGTTGCTGGACTTGATTCTTTTGTGTTTGATCCTGAGTCTGATTTCTGTTGATCCTTTTTGTGCTGACGGGGCGATGGTCGAGGGCTTGGCTGAGGACTTGGATTTGGGCTGGAAAAGACAAGAATATTGTTAAAAATATGTGAGGTGTATTGCTAAATTCAGGTAAACATGATGAAAAAATTATCCAAACCTAGATTCTCCAGTAATTTGACTCTGTTGCCCTTGCGTTATTGTTTGAGAAGATACATTAGGTAGAGTCATTGTGTTAAATGTAAGTGAAGAACCAATACTGCTTCCAATTACATCTTGTCCAGTCATTAAAAGATTTTCAACGGATTTCCGCCTGAATAAAAAAAATAAGAGTAGATAGCAATTACAATTCTTAAAATTAAATTAAGTAAAGTAAGGCACGGACGCAGAGGAAGAATTAAAACACATGAGCGTTGTTGTTCAAAACTAAAAAGATCTAATAGAAAGAAATACATGAATGCACAAAAGAAGGCCATAATTTAGAAGTATGCAAAGAAGCCCAAAATACAAAGAATAGGTAAAAACAAGCACTCAAGGAGAGGAAATTCTAAGACATGAATGTGATTATTTTAAGCATTTTTCAGGCACAGCAAATCAGGTTTCAGAATGTTCGCCTTGAGGAACATTAAATTATTTGGCTGTTGAAATCTGATATTGCTACTAAACCTCAGACATGCACGATAATTAAATGGTAAAATCTGATAACATGCTTTGCAAAAATTTGAAATGAAGACAGAAATAGGAATATGTAGGTTATTTTATCCAAATTGAAATCAAGCTGTTAGGGTTACTTAAGATAAAAATCTAATGCTGCTTGCTGCCAGAAGGTTAATCATTACTTCTAAAAAAAAATTAACAATATGAAAGGTACCTGATGAACCAATACTGGAACCAACTGATAAATTGATGTATTCAGATCCACAATGATTTCTCACAGACAAAAAACACTGACAAAGCAAGAACATGACATAATCCTGGAAGAAAGCAAAAATAGGCAGGTTGTCCAAACAGGCTGTGATAGACATTGAGAGTGGCGTGATAAGAAGTAGAACTTCTGTACAAGCGTGCTCTTCTACTATGACCAACACCATCCTCAAAGTATGACACCGACACTAGACAATACTAGAACAGGGTTCATTAAAACTTAAAACGTCATTGTAACAAATTTAAGGAACTGACGAGATCTGAAGGGAGGGAGTGGCTTCCATAGTTACTCCAGGTTTAACGCAAGCCTAGCAGCCCAGACTACAGACGTTTTATATACCCCGTAACACATGAAGCTGGTTGGTTTAAGTGCTCAAATGAATGTTAGGTTGACAGCCACATGTTCCCTCCACACCTTAGATAAAGAAATAATGATAATTCCACTAAAACAAGAATAAATCCAGGTACCACACTTAAGGTGCTTAGAGAATGAACCAACCTCTTTTTAATAAGCCATGATCTGGATTCTTTCACCCAATTGTTGATTTGGGAAGTTGATATTGATGCTCCAGAACTGGTCAAAATTGAGATAGTTAAAAAGATTCAAAAGAAATATTAATAAAAAGTGGCATCACTTTGAAAATTAAACTGAAAGATAAGGTAGAAAAATTTATCGAAGCAATGTCTAAAACTAAGATCACACAAAGCAGAACACATTTCACTCTAGGCCATAGGAATTGACAAAAGGGTGAGCATGTATTTTTTACCCCCATTGATTTTGCTGCACTTTAATGGTAATAATAAATTATGTTCTTTAATGAAAGAGTTAACACAAAAGAACTCCTGATTGGTTGAAGTCACTAGTATGCAAGAACTGCTTTATATGTAAGAGTTGCTTTAGACACAAAATTGATAAATGAACAAGTTCTTTAGAGGAATTTAGAAGACATATTTTGAAAGGTAAAAAAAATGTGTAGACATGAAGGAAATCGGTCATGTCGGGTATTGCGTGTTGCGATACCAGCCGCAATGAGCAGCAGAAGAAGATTCCTGATAATGTTATGACAACACTGTACACAAACCTATCTCCTTATTTAAAATGATACTAGAAATATGTTACTGGTAAAGCAAGTCTTCCAAGAAGTCTGAAATTAGCTCTTAAAGAACAGTGCGCTTGCTTCGTGTTATCTCACACAGATGTGGCCAGTCACCACAGCTACGCTTGCAGCACAACAGTCAAGTGGTTGACAAAACAAAAAAAATCTTTGAGAAAAACTTTTATTGGAGGCAGTAAGTCTCAGCATGGCGAGTGAGCGAGCGAGATACCAAAATCAGCTGGTTGACACCACCGCTGGGTGCGCCAGGCTACGCCAGACGGGTGCTAAACATGACAGGACTGACAGGCGTTGTTCCCTTACATGAACGCGGCGGCCGCCGAGCACTGCCGTTCCCCGTCAGTCATTGCGAGACTGAGGCGCCGGAGGCAGCAGATCAGATGACGAGCACTGACGGGTTGGGGGACGTTACTGGGCCCTCTTTGTTTATCAAATCATCATTGGCTAAACAAACTGCCTGGTCGATCGTCCCAGTTTCACACACGGAGCGTCGACCTGACCGACGACTAGCAGGCCACCCGGTGTCCGATAACAGGTCAATTGTTCATCTCAAAACTCATTTTTCCGCACAAATAACAGAAACTATGCCATCGATTTGATCTGACTCCACTCTTGGCCCGAGGAGGAGGAGAGGAGAAGTGGAGCTGAGGCTAGTCATACGGCAACAGTCACTTGTTCAGCGTGTGGTTTTTAT